GGGACAGGAAAACCAGGTCTGGGGGGGGGGTGGAGTGAATGAGAGCATTTTGTTTTATATTTGTTTTGAAGATTTGAATGTTTTACCTTTATCTTAAAACAATCAAACAAGAACCAAGGTGACTTGCAGCAAGATTTATGACATAAAAATAAAAACAGGAGTATAGAATAAAAACCTCATTGAATAGCTTCAAATGCTTGGAGGTCTTGACCAGATGTCAAAAATCAGCAATAGCACCAAAGCCAAAGGAACCTCCCCCTCATTGCCATGTTCTGAACCTCTCTCAGAGGTTCTTTGCACATTGAGAAGAGCCTCCAATATTGATCACAATAAATTATGGGAGGTTTATAATGGAGTTTCTCTGGAAACTCTTTATCTAGGCTGTTTGAATGGCTCTTCTTTTCCTATTCACATTGTTTGAGGGATACTGTTTTATGTCCACTAGTTCTGACCTATGGCACCAACGTGCTCACCGGGTGTGCACCCCGGAAATGCTGCAAGCAGTATTCCTGTGAATGAGACCTAAGTGTGTACAGATGTGCCCATGTGTGGCTTCTCTAGGGAACTGAGACCCCTGGCCAGACAGGTTTCCTGATTGTGTGGGGAAATCCCACTTGTATCTGAATGATCACAGGTACCTGTTGCCACAGTGCCAAGCATGTGGTCACTGGACATGGCAACATCAGATCAGAGGTCATGACGAGTAGGTGTGACACCACTTCCCCTTCATGTTTGTGGGAGCTGTCTGAACAGAGACAGCCCAGCTAGGGTAGTCCCTCCTCTGCCTTCCAGGACCCACTCCAAGACATGTGTACCCTGAGGGGAAAGGAGCAAAAGTACAATCATTCATCAAAGTTAAATCCACAATAAGAGAACAGAATAAAAGTTGGGAGCAGCTAAATTAACAGCACACAACATAGCCCTACTTAGAAAACCTGAGTATACAGGAAAGGATTTTGACCCAGCAGAAAAAAGGGGGCCAAGTCAGTATCAATTGTATCAAGCTGGTACAAGGAGAGCTGCCCCTACCAGTCTCTGCATTTCAAGCCATTTGGGGTTGAAAGGGAAGCACCAGCTACCTGCACTGGGCTTAGAAGCAAATAGGTACCCAGCACTGCTCCTTCAGAATTTATTTACTATGATTCCACGTGGCTACACCAGTTGAATTCCTGGCAGCTGCAGTGTGACTCAACTTCCAGAGCAGCTCCAGATACAACATATTAGTCCCTGGGAGAGCAGCTAACAGGATTCTGCTCCAACCTAAATGATGTCCTCAACACATGCAACTTCCAGAAGATATAGTGCTGAAAGTGAGAGATCTTCTACATGAGGCTGTTCATTCACTGTATCTTGTTGTTGTTAGTTGTGAAGTCACGTCTGACCCATCGTGACCCCATGGACAACATTCCTCCAAGGCTTCCATCCTCCACCATCCCCCAGAGTCCACTGAAGCTCACACCAACTGCTTCAGTGACTCCATCTAGCCACCTCATCCTCTGCTGTCCCCTTCTTCTTTTGCCTTCAATTGTTCCCAGCAACAGGGTTTTCTCCAGGGAGTCCTTCCTTCTCATTAGGTGGCCAAAGTACATATTTGAGTCTCATCTTCAGGATCTGGCCTTCTAAAGAGCAGTCAGGGTTGATCTCCTCCAGGACTGACTGGTTTGATCTCCTTGCGGTCCAAGGGACTCACAGGAGTCTCCTCCAGCACCACAATTCAAAGGCCTCAATTCTTTGGCGCTCAGCCTTCCTTATGGTCCAGCTTTTACAACCATACATTGCAACTGGGAAAACCATAGCCTTGACTATACGCACTTTTGTCGGCATCACTCTATCTACTTTTGAATTTCTGACAAATTAGAGCTGGGCACTACACAAATGGCACTTTTGCCTGCCTTTCTGCTGCATAACCTCTAGATGGCATTGCAGTATAGTGGAATAATGCAAATACATGAGTGAGAAAAGTATTTTCTGCCCCATTAACAAACATAGCGTTTTCCTTGTGTGTGTGTTTAAAAAATACCCCCTTTAAAGTACTCTTTTCACAAAGAAGTGATTGCCGACCTACAACACCCATAAACGATGAGTAAGGAATAACAAGTGCCTCATGCAGAAATGTACTGGAGCCTTACAGTGGGAGATCCCGGCCAGAGCCCCTTTGCACCTTACACATATGAACACATAGTAATTTCTGCAGTCTAAGCATTCTGCAGAGGTGCACTCATGCAACACATGTACAACTTTCTGACACAGAATGAGGTCCAGAGAAGGATTTCCTTCTGTTTTCCTCCCAACAGAAACTGGTTTTGCACAGTTGGCTGACCTTTCTATCAATAGCAAATCCACCTCCCTCACTTTCTGGCAGTAGATTGTAAAGTGCAAATGCAAAGCACTCCCCTGAAGCAATGGAGGGGGGCAAAGAGGCCAGTATTCACACAGCGACTGTACACAGGATCACTGAGGAGTGAAGGCAGAAGGGAGCAGAAAGCATAATTTGCACCTGCTCCAGTTTTTAGGTATCCTGCTGCAGCTGCTACCAGTCTTTTTTCTTTTAAGTAAGACATTACAGGAATGAAAGAAAAGAAAGACTAGTTTGTCTCTCGCCATATATAAACAAATGAAACTGCTTTACACAAAAGCAGAGTTTCTCAAACTGTGGTATGTAGACCCTAGCACCCTGCAAACTCCTTTCAGGTTGTCCAGAATCTTTCTAATGACTGAAACAGAGGTCAGAGGTGGATGACTGAACAAGAATCAGGATTAAAGCCCCTGGCTTTCATCCTATGGCATTGGTTCAATCTACTGCTTTTTCCCTAGAAAATTCAGCCATTGACTTGACTGAGTTTTGCTCACAAATATAGGCAGTAGGCAGGAAAGACTACAGATATTAAATAAGTTTTATATACCCTTTAATTTATAGAACAAAAGAAAAAACATTAAATTATCTGTTGAGAAAGCAATTTTCAAGTAGTTTGCAGGGAAAAATAGTTTGAGAACCACTGTACTAAGTCACGAACAGTAATCCATCTGGCCTAGGATTGCCCATTCAGACTGGGACACCAGTCTGCAAGCAAAACTTTTTCCACTCTGCTGCTTGATATCCTTCTCTGAGATTCAGCCACAAAGGTTTGTATTTCTGTAAGGAAGAAATGAGTACAAGTATTTACTATAACATGCCCTGAGCCTCTGAGCAACACATCTAAGACAAATGATAGTTTAATTTTCTTTCTAAAGAAGAAAATACTCCAATTACTCTTTCTTTCCCTCAGTATTTGCCTCTGCCAAGCTCCCAAAGTCACTAAGCACACTATTTGCTCCACTTTTTAGAGTCCACCGCTCTTGTATTTTATGGGATGTAGAGTGATAGATAAATCTTGTGAACAAATAAACTGCTGATCTGAACAACAGGGATATTCTAGTTCTCCACTGTGTGAGCAGACATAAGCCATGGGCAATTACACTTGTTCCCAGAGACTCCTGCTTCCTGGTATGAGGCAGAAATGGAAAAGAAAAGGCTGAATCTGGACTCCATCATAAAATCAACAGAGGACAGTTCCCTGAATGTTTGGCTTTGCTCTCTCCAGATAGGAGGCCTGAACTCTTGGAGAAAAGGCCATGATTAGAGAGCTAGATGCAAAGAGATACTTTTATTCTGAATCCTTTCGCATGCAGACAGCAGAGATTTCTAGTTCCTCCCAACATGGGAATCCTTCTGTGGCAAAAGCAATTCCACATAACGACGGGTGACTCCACCACTAGAAAGCCAGCTGCTCTCTCTCGGTCCTCGAGCCTGCCAGATGCTGAAGCGCCCTCTTTTCCCCCGCCAAGCCTCTTTCATCTCTTCCTATCTCGCAGCGCTCCCTCCGAGAGCCTCCTTCCCCCATTCGCAACACCCAACTTCTCCAAGCTGTTAGGAGGTTCCTCCTCCCCCGACTCCTGCCCTCCTCAGACCTCCCTGGCAGGCGGGCTCAGCTTCCCCTTCGTTCGAAACCTCTGGGCATCCCTGCCTCTGGCTACCCCTTTCCAGCCGCAGCCTTCCTATTCCTCCGCCCCCCCCCCGCAAAAACAAAACCCAAACCCCGTTCCCTTCGGCTTCTGGCCACTTGACAAGATTCGCCTTCTGTCCCATTCAGCTCTCCCACTTACCTCCAGGATCTTCGTTCCTCGTGTTCGGCCTTCCCTGAAAACCCCTCCTCCTCATTCCGGGCAATGTCAGACTAGCCCTGACCCAGAGGTGGTAGAAACCTGCCCCTCCGCCAGAACTGCCCGCTCCTTACTGCTGCGCGCTTCTCCTCCTCCTCCTCCTCCGCCTTCGCTCATCTCTCGGCCAAGCAGAAGCCTTATCCCTAAGTGTCCCTTCCCCGCTTTGCCCCGCAGCTTCCTAGCCCGCTTCCCTGCGGCAGCCGGCACGCTTCCCTTCCACCCTCCATCCGTAGGATCCGCAGTTGCGTTCCCTCCACCCCCCGCAGCAGGGAAAGCTGCCCCACAGCTGAAGCCTCCCAATCCCCGAGCCATTCGCTTTCCATCGCCCCGGGGATATCCTTGCTGGATCTTCTCATCCGCCGGCACAGGGGCCGGAATTATTGCCGCGGGTTCTCCGTCGCTGCCCCACGCCCGCCAGTGGCCTCTTCCTCTGCCCGCCGCTCCCTCCCCTGCCCCACGCCTGCCCGCTTGCCCCTTGCAGGGACTCTTCCCGCTCCCCACACCCGCTGGCTCCGTCTGTTTCCCCGCTCGCCCGCCCCACTTCCCTCCGCTAGCGAGCGAGGCACGCTCCGAGCTCGCCGCTCCGCAACATCTGGTCGCCCGCCGGCCCGCCCGCCGGCCGCCTCGCCTCGCCTCGCCTCGCCAGAGCCGTCCCTGCCACTTCCTCCGCCCCCCGCCGCGCCGGTCACGCCACCCACTCCCGCCGCAGGGGGCAGCTCTTCTTCCCGCTCCCCGAGCGCGCCCGCCCGCCCGCCCGGCAGTCCCAGCCCGAGCGCCGCGCGGGAGCGCCGAGGCCCCCGATGGTGCCGCAGGGAGGCGGCGGCGGCGGCGGCGGCGGGGGAGGTGCCAGGCGCCCGCGCCCGCTCGCGCTGCGGTGCTCGCCGTCGCGGAGCCTGCGCCTGTGGCTGCTGCTGCTGCTGCTGCTGGCGGCGCTCGGGCACGCCTGGACCTACCGCGAGGAGCCCGAGGACAGCGACAGGTGGGTGGGCGCGCGGCCGGGCGGCGGGCGCGGGGCGGCCCGGGGCGCTGCCGCGGCTTTCCCGCCACGCCGCGGTGCGCCTCCCGGAGGGCGAGCCCCGCCAGCCGGCGCGTGTCGGGACGACGTGCCTCCGGACGGCTCCTAACGCGGCGTCCTTCTCTCTCCCTTTCCGCCCGCCTCCGCTCCGCCGCGCAGAGAGCTCTGTTCCGAGAACAAAGTCGCCACGACGAAGTACCCGTGCCTGAAGCCCGGCGGGGAGCTCACCACCTGCTTCAGGTCAGTGGCCTCGTTCACCCGCCCACCTGCCCCGCCTGTGGCGCAGGAGCCGCGGCGAGGCGCTCGCTCGCGCGCGCGCGCGCGCGTCAGGCGGCGGACTTACCCCCGCCCCACCGGGTCCCGTCCAGGTGTCTTGGCTCGAACTCCCATCAGCCCCGGCCTGCATGGCCAACGGGGTGGGGACGCGGAGCTGTACTCCAAAACCTCCGTGGGGCGCCCAGGTGCAGAAGGTTGGCCGCTCGTGCTGGGTGAGCGTGCCTCCTGAGGGCAGGAGAAAATAAAACGGTCTGGCATTTGGTGGAAGCTGCCTCCTCCGAGTTGGGTTCCCCTGGCGAGCTTAATTTATGAGCCACTCAAGCGCAGGAGCCCCATAGGTGACTCTAGAGGCAATAGTGTTGGAAAAGGTGCCCCCGAGCATGTGTAGAGTGCTGTTTCCTTGGCACACATTATGTTTGATTTGTGTGTATGTGTTGGTGGCAGTAGATACGTTGCAAAGCCATAACTTGGCAGTAGATATGTTGTTGTGAGCCGCCCTGAGGCTTCGTTGCGATGGGGGCGGCATAAAAATGCTTTAAATAAATAAATAAATAATGGGTGGCTAGGGGAATGGGTGTATTTTGCAGAGGCAGGTTGGGGCCAGATTTGGTGATGGGAGCAGCATGTCCTCACAGGCCCCCTCATTCTGCTTCCGCCGCCTGTTCACTTGCCCATCAGGGCTGGTGTCAGCCGTGGACATAGTGAGGCTCCTGCCAAGGGCTCAAACCCCAGCAGGTGTCCAGGAACAAGATCGCTTTCCCTTGCAGTCTGCACGTTCCTCTGCCTCTTGCTCTAGCCTTGGGAATGGTGGTGGTGGCACGGAGGAGCAGGAGGAGCAGTTGTCCTCTGGCTCACAGGCTCTTTGCCTCTCAGAAAAGCCGGAGGTTGCTGCAGTGAGGAGGAGAAATAGCCGCTGGAGAAATAATGCCGAGGAGGCAGGTGCTCTGTGGGAGGTGGCCCTTTGACCATGTCTTGCTCAGGGACCTTCTGCGAGCTGGAGCTGGAGCTGGTCCTGGCCGACCCATTCCTCTGCTCAGAGAGAGGACAGGAATGGCAGAGGCTGCTGTTCCTTTCCCCTGCACCTTGCCCTTGCCAGGAAAGCACAAGTGAGCAGAATGCAGTGGGGAAGAGGAAGAGCAGAGGGAGGTGGCTGCACAGGTGATGGGCTCCAGCTGAGCTGCTGGGGTCCTCAGCAGATGCTTGCTGATGCTCGCCCTGAGCTGCCAGCAAGTTCAGTTCCCTCACACATGGTTCCGTTTGCGCAGCATTCTTGCCTGTGGGTTGACAGCTGTCTGTTATAACCTGGTACGTCTCAAGGGTTGTGATTTGACCCCCAGCTTCCTACAGGCGAGTGAATTTGATTTCTTGGCATTTATATACATGGGACTCTATTTAATGCTCTGCGCTGTTCGGTGCTTCAAATGCCAGACAATATCCCAAGACAACTCTAATTTCTCATTAGACTGAGCATACAAGCAGATGCCAAGAGCTCCTGAAATAGACTGTTGTGCACATTTGCTGGGTTGCAGCTAAACCCTTTCGCATCCTGCAACTGTGCGTCTGAAAGCAATAATTTAGGCTGGGAAGTGTGTTAGTCATGACATTGATTATAGGTGGCACGCTGTTGGACCTGATAAAATGTGTTCGTGCAAGCAACACGCATCATGCAAATGGCAGAAAAACTTCAGTAATGAATGGCAAGAAGAAGGCAGTCTCTCCTGTTTCTGGTTTTCAGATTAGCTTTTTCATAATTTACTTATGATTATTTTAATTGTATTATTATTATTTAATGATAGTGGTAGAAGCACAGCAAATCATCTTAAAATGTATACTACTCTTTTTTTACAGTGTAACCTTGAATGCATCCCTTCCCCCCTTGTGTTCTTTTTCTTCCTTTCTTGTTGCAGTTTGACCTTGAGCGCATCCAAGAGTAGGATTTTTGCTTTTGTTAAATCATGCTAGCCTCCCTATAGAAATCTCTGTGTTCTCTCTAGTACTGAAATGGTGCTTCTGCAATGGGAGGATTTCACTCCTGAGTGTTTACACAGCCTCGGTGGCACTGCTGATAAAAGAGCTATTCGGTATCTCTGAAATATAGTGATGGTTTGTACTGTGAACCTTAACATGCTTACTTGGAAGGAGAGCTGGAATCCTAAGTATATTCCCTGGGATGCAAGTTCCAGCATGATTTGTTTTATTCAGCTCTTCAGCCAGAAAATTTCCTGGTGCAGTTTGTTTGTTTGTGTATTTAATTTCTATACCACCCAGCAGCCAACACTCTCTGCATACAGTTTGCATAAAGTTCATAAAAACAAGACAGTTCCTGCCCACAGGCATGCAGTCTATAAAGGCATAACACGAGAGAGAAAAGGAACAGGGAAAGAAGAGGAAAAAAGCAAATTTTCTGCAGTTCTGGTGGAATGGCTGATTTTTGTTTCTTAGATAAACATGGTTCAGACCTAACTGCAAGTCACCCTGATTTCCATTGAAGTTGCTTTCCTGTATGGACTCTTCGCACATTAATCAAGAATACCTAAAACGTTTCAAAAGTACACCTGAAATCTGAATTATTAACACAGTGGCGATGTGTTTATAAACATAGCCAGAGAATCAGAATTGTCTTCAGCTCTTAATCGACCCACATAATGTGTGGAATAGTGATAGGTGTCCTTTGTATTGAAGCTGTGAAGTATTTCAGATTCAAAGTTAGTGCTGGTTTCTTGCTGTAAAGATCAGTGGTAACTTGAAGTTTGGGTTTAAACCCTACAGCAGTGCTTTGTTGTTTTCCCTCCTAGAGACAAATGACTTATGCCTTCCTGGCTAGCACCAGTGCTCTTTTCAAGTGTTCTGCTAACTAGAAGAAACTGTGCTGTGATTCCTCCTTTTTTTCTTAATGGATTTTCGGCAGTAAGAAAAAAGATGGGAAGACTGGTGGAAGGTCACTAGTGGAAGATGTCACTGTCTGGATTCCTGGCCAGATTCCATAAAGGCCTTATCTGGAAAGTTGTCCATAGTCACTCATTCAAAGAAAAGGGGGAAAGAATTTCTGTCCTCCTTAACCTATCGTGGGTGAGTTTTGGGAACAGGGTGAAACAACTGGAGAAGAAGCTTACTAACTGTTGACAGAGTTTGGATGTATCATTTATATTACTGAATCATAGTCAGCAGAAATACACACACACACACACACACACACGTATTTACTTGGAATGTGGTCAGAAATTTAGGAGATTAAGAGAAATAATAGTGTGATAACACCTTTAGAAAGGGACTTCTATTTGCTGCAGTAGCCAAGAAAGCATGTGGTTTAGGGACTACTTTAGGCATTTGTAGTATGATGCTGCTAGTACCACATCAACAGGGCAGTGCTTCGGGTGTCTGTTTCTCTTATACGCTGGAAAGGATGTCGGAATGCTCAAGGGGCATACAATGATTGTGGCTCGAATTATATGGCTGTCAAGAGTAGTGTTCTTTTGGTGCTAAAAGCTGAAGATAATGTGTTCCTTTGAGACAGAGCGTGTGTCTTAAGAGCAGCTGATTGCACTACATATGTAAACATTTGCTGCAGGCCAGTTGAAAAGACCTATGACTGGTTTAATTCTTGCATGCTGTTTATTAAAAAAGCTAACTAAATCCAGGCAGACAGCCATGACTAATGCTGGAAGGGGGCTGTCATTTTCCCTAGTCTTTGTCATTTCCCATTTGGCCTCTACTGGTGTTCAGTGTTTAGGGAAAGCTGGATTTGTGCAGCAAAATGAAATTACAGATTGATGTGCTCTTCTGCTGTAGGATTAAAGCAGCGCTCCTTAAACTTTGCCGTACTGAATATGGACCACCCCGTGGTCCACAAGTACTTTCCAGCCTTTGGGTCAGAGGACATGTGGAAGGCTTCGAAACTGAAACTCACATGCTGCAGTGGACCTCTGTGGCTGCAGTCCAACAAAGCTGTATGTATGCGTCAGGGAGTACCATGCACAAAACTAGGGAATTCTTGGAAATTTCCACTATAACAACCTGCACTGCTAAAATGAACTCTTTTTCAATCTTGAGTCTGAAACTGAAACAAGCGTTTTTCCTTTAGAGGTGCCATCTACAGCAAGTATTGGAAAACACCTCTAGTTCTTTATATTTTTATTTACTGTTTTCATTGCATTCTCAAGGTCTGTCTGAAGCTCAGCCAGGAAACACTATTGTTCCCTGGGTCAGAATTTAAGAGCCATTGAGAGAAGCAAAAGTGACTGGGAATGAATTAAATGAGCAGATGCAATTGCATGTGCAGGCCTAACTTCAGTTCTGAACTAAGGCGTTTGGCCAAGATGCCACAGAAGGGGTTGATTTTGACCTGAAGTCCTAATGGAGAGAACGAACGAGTCTTTATGTGTAGGAGTTCTGCGTTGCACTTCAGGCAGGAAGGGAGAATGGGATAAATTATTTTATGGTAGAATAGTGGGTGAACTGCTGGTCCTGCGATTAGGGGCAGGGTACCGACATCACCCTCTGCTTCGCATTCTGAGCTCATCCTGCCTTTCTGCGCTACTGCCGTGATGGTCGCTGATTGCCTGGTTGTCTGTCTGTCTTGCCTGGGTGCCTTCTCCCATTATGTCTCACAAAGCACCATTAGAAAACCCGCAGACAGAGCAAGAGAGCAGGGCAGGTGATTCCCACTGACTGGCTTCGTTGCTTCTGGGCTGCAGCATTGGACAGTCGACAAACAGCGAGAGTCAGGCACAGCAGTGAGTGAAGGGTGTGAGGTGTTCAAGGACAGAGCTGTGGCGTGCACTGTGCCCTTTAAGTTGTCCCACTTCTTGCAGATGTGTTGGAAGACACAATCCAGTCACCAGTGTGGAAGCAAGATCCTACTTCCAGTCCAGTTTCTAGTTTCCATTTGTGGAACGTGGAGGAACATCTTGTTCTTGGGCAGCAAAATCTCTTGGGCTGGCCCTATTTCCATTCTGAGTTCATTT